AAATCTTAAAGGATATACGTAGAAATATTTATTCCAATTTCATATCAAATGCAGAGAGAGAATTTAAATTTTACGACTGGGTGATTTTGATTTATGTAATTTCTTACAGTTCATAATTTTTGTTACATTCTCGAAATATATCGGTCGTTATTTTTGCTACGGCAGAACGCTGCAAACTTTCTCTAGTAGGTATATAAAGAGAGTGAAACTATATTTGTGTCCACATCTGGTTATGCGAGTTTCAGCCTTTAACAATATTTAATAGTCCTCGATCTCGCGATCGCGTGTTCCACGTATGTTACTTTCATAACAGTCTCGTGCGTTTGACAAACGGTGCGATGATATCGTAATAAAATAATTGAAGATTCGGGAACGGTGTCGATTAATAAGATCGTCAACTAGGCTTAACATCGTTGATGGGGTTCCGACTCGCGAATTGCACTTCTCGAGCCAACTCGGTAGCCAACTTGGCAACTGACGCGAGATATCACGTCGAGAGCAGAATCGCGTGGGCGGTCTTACGTACGTCCGAGCTCTATCATTGCTTTATCGCGGCTCGATCAAAATCGCCTCGCTTCACGAGCGGAGCTTTGAAAAAGACACAATCTCAATCTGTATTGTATTGTTGTTGCACCGTGATTACGATATCGACAGATCAGTCGTCAAGATGATAGAACGATAGAGCCATAAGCAAACTTTCTTTCCGACACTTCCTTCCTTTTTTGCGTTGTAAGTTACGTCGAAGGACGTGGAAGGATACGAAGGAGGCGATGATCAATGCCTCGCCAAGTGTCAACCGGCCGATAACGAGAACCGCGTATCTCTCCGATTTCTCCAAACCGTCAATCATTGGGCACCGCAGAGCTATGCGCATACCTGGCCAGTTTCATTACGGATCTCGCGAAAGTAGAAACTTTCTCAGACATATTTTTGCGCGCTTCGAATTTAAATGCAATTTAAAGGCGACGCGGAAATCCATGTTAACGCATCATATCTCTTGCGAGATCCAAAATGGATGAAATCATTCGTAAAATCGTCAACAGGAGACGTCTCTGAATCCTTTCTTCTCCTTTTGACGTATTAATACACGTGGTAGACACACACGTTGGCCGTACGTGCATAGTTGGTCGATGACAGCCGGCGTTTCTCTGACGATTTTCACAAAAGAAATGTCGACGGCGGCAAAGTATGATACCTGCATTCCATCGGTTGCAACATGTGTGTCATACGAGACGTGCTTTGATTTTCTATCGTTTCGATCGGGCCAGCCCTCGCCGTGGCTTATTTACGCGGCACGAGTCGGCGACACTTCGGTAAGTCGTACAGCAAAAAGAAAAACAGTCAACTATTCATGTTTGAACTAGTCACCGGGTATCAAATCGCTATCGACGCATTTCGCAAGCGGCGACACTGAAATCATACTGATTCATTCCTCGACTTATAAATTCTACCACTCGGGCGAGCAGTTAAGCGCATGAAGGAGAAAAAAAAACGCACGTGGATTTACCAAATGCCGTTATCTGTCACGTGAGTGTCTATCTATTTCGAGCACCTGAAATGATTGGTATTTGCGAGACGCTATATGTATTTTCCATTTAATTATCATCCGTATAAAATGTGCTATAAAATATGAGCGTTTGTTCTCTCACGTCGGAGACAATACCTTTATTTCCGATGCAGACGCGCGTTTTCGATTTCAAGCAACCGCATGCTGTGTTGTGTGTGTGTGTGTGTGTATGTGCGCGCAAGATCCGCGATCATGTCGATACAGAGTGTTTCAAGAAGAATGGTCAATATTTTAAAACACTACATATAATAAATTAAAAAAAAATAAAATTAATTAATTAATTAAATAAAAATAATATATTAAAATAAATAAATTTAATAAAAATAAAATAATATATAAAATAAATAAATATATTCAACTTTTCAAATTTATTACAAGTTTAAAATAAGCCGTATCTTTATAATCATCCAGAATATACGTTGACACATGTTTATATAAACATTTTTATTTAAAATGACAATTATGCCCAAGAACACTGAGTCACTCCTCTTGAAACAGCTTATATATATGTACACACAACACATGTATATATATGTAGTTGGCACGCTCGGGCATCAGCGGGGAGGGAAAGGTGCAGAAGAAAGGGTTGATAGAGCTCCGGAGCGGGCACGATTAACACGTGTCACGCGTCACCCAACACACGTACACGCGCGCGCTCATCTATCTTTCCACACTCGCGCGGATCCGCGGGGCGCACACGCAAGCTATCGCGTATGTCGCGTAAGGTAAGGCCGACAGTCCATATATCTAAAAGCGGACCCGCTGCCAGTCACCATGTAGGACAATAAAGGACGGAGGTGGTAACGTAACGTTTCCATATACACATTCCTGGGCGGCGACAGCGCGCTCGCTTTGCGGCCGTTTAAGAATTTCTCGTCGTGTACTGGAACCGAGGTGCGACACCGCGCATTTCAATCGCCCGACACGCGTCAACGCTCGCCACGAAAATTCGCCGTTTCTGACGTAAGAAATAATGGTAAAATCAAGTCTTACGCTCGACCTTAATTCACAGACATATTTATTTCTACGGAGAAGAGAGAGAAATGCAAATTCGATCATGCGCACGTTTTAAAAATCAAATAAATATTAGCCATTATTTATGATTAATAAATTTGTATTAATTTTAAATTTCTAAGAAAAATATCCTAAAAGTTTATATTCCTAGATTTTTTATTTTATTTTAAAATCTCAACTTTTTATTTTTTAATATAATTCTGACGAAAGAAATTTATTTTGGCGAGGCTTAATCTTGGAAAAGAATTTGTACTAATGAAATAAGAATATAATTAAACGGTGAATTATGTTCACAGTTGTAATAAAATATAAAGCACTTTTTAGCAGGAGAGAAATTTTTCTTCCGTCAGAAGCATTTGTTGCAGTCCATTTGCGGTCCATTTTTGCGGACTATATTTGCATACTTTCAATTGCGAGCATCATCTTCTCCCAAATTGATTAATAACGTATACCTCGTGACATATCTGCTCGTAAATAGATAAGAAGACATTTCTCGGTACAAACGCGACAAATCCTTTCACAGAAAAATGAATGGAGCTTCAGTCGTATACGAACGTTCCGTTGAACGCATGAAACCTCCATTCACACCAAGAAATTGTTGTACGGCCGCGGAAACGAGCCGGCCATCTATATTTAACTTGTCGACCGGCGACAGGAAGAAGGCTCGACGTGCTCGTCACATCGTCTCCGAAGACATTTTAAGATACCACCGCCTTTTTCTTCCTCAACAAGTCCCGTCACATTTACCATTCCGTAAGACACCAACGTCTTTTACTCGCGGACAAACATTATGCCGATGAGAAATATTCCTCTTCCCATGCATTCTGATTACTACATTTTCATGACGATGCTCCAGAGAGATCTCTATTATTAATGTTATTTTAATTTCTCCCAAAATCTCTTTATACTTGTATATTAAATATTACGTGTCTCTCTTTCTTTCGTAAAATTTATTTTTATCATATATATTAATTTTATTTATCATGTATATTTAAAAATTTTTTAAGATTTCCTCGGATGTTGTTGTAAAAAAGCAACTCGATGTTGAAACGGCCGTGTGTAAGTATCTTTAATCGACCCATTGTCTTGTTTCTCCTTTGTTCGCTTTCGTAGCCGCGGGTGAAAACTTGGTCAAAACCGATCGCTAATGCCCGCAACTTTTCGCGGCACGCATATTGTTAACCAAAATCGCGATAAAGCGTGCGGAAACGCAACCTTTGCCTTCCCTCGAAGAGAAGGGTAACATCTGATAGCCATCCTTAATTACCTCACTTATCTCATTTTATAAAAAAATAAATTTTAATTAGACAGATTTAGCACCGAGTCATTAAAAAATAAATTTTAAAAATTGAAATCCATATGCGAGAGATATGTGTATCTGTGTTAATACGATCGTTTGATTGGTAAAACGAGTCGAACGAGCGGAAAAAATCACTGGCCGTTATAGCGAGATGAGGGAAAAATCGGTCGATGCCGCCGCAAATTCTTCTTCTCGGTCTCTTTTCTCCGAAACCGGTACTCACGGTATCTGTTCGGTCTGTTCTTAATCCAGAAACGATTAATAATCCGAGAATACGCGAAACTCTGACCGCTGTCGTATAATTCTCGAGCGAATCGGTGAGAAACCAGCCACTGCCGCTTTTTTTCCCAATTAAAACCGCGTCGTGGTTTCCGCGAGATCCAACAAAATCGCTCGACAAGAAGGGCGTCGCCCAAGGATTCTCACGCGTCCTGGAGCAGGAAGAACAGGACTTCGGGATCGCTTTAATTGCACGCCGTTAATTAGGCGTCGTTAACTAGCTAATCGATTGAAAGAAGATCCAATAAACACTAATAATTTGCTATCGTTTTTTTTTGCTATCGCGATGACCAAAAGACGAAGCTTATCGTAACCGGCTATTTCATCAAATCATGATAAGGGATCCTAAAAAGTCCGCGTGAGATCGCAAGAGCTCGACGAGATTTCAAAATCCTCTCGGCCGAGTAAGATTATAATTGCGAGTAATACGTACGCTACGACGCGATGCCTTCCCGGCGCAATTATCGGAGTATGCATTGAACTTTATGGGACAGAGAACTAGCCTAATACTTATAGTATTATATAGGTATATTACGTTCTTGACCGTTTCTTCGGACACTCACTCGAGGTAGCTCCGGGCTGGCGAAACCAGAGCTCTCTCGACCTCGCGCTCGCTCCCTTTCTGTCCCCCCTCTGCAGAAATTCCCCTTCATCCTCTTTGCAATTCAAGAGATACGAGCGTTTGTTCGCACATACGTGTCGTTCACGTTCATGACTTTATGCAGCGATATAATAATAATAATACTATTAATAGTAATATTATTATTATTATTATAAATAATATAATTTCATAAATTTCAATTATCTCGAAATTGTAAGATAAGACATAATTTGACTCACCAGTGTGATGCGCAGAGTTGTAACACAAATGTTGATCTGTAAACAGAAATATTCAAAGTAATAACAGAGCACTTTCTACGAAATAATTAATATTTTGAAATATAATTATTGCACGTAATTAATTTTTCTTATCTGTCTTTCAAATATTTAATTTTAAAAAAACTATATATTTATCGAAAAAAAAATTATTAGCTTTTACAAAATATAATAAATAAAAAAACCTGTTTCTTATTTATAATATTTCTTTTCTATATCTTATATATAATTTAATTGTAATTATATAACTTTTAAACATATATTATATATGTAAAAAATAATATTAAATTTATAATTATTATCACAGGAATAAGCGAGCAATTAGTTTTTTAAAAATAACTAATAATAAGCTAAATAAGTTATTAATGACTTATACCTTGCAGTTGTTTCGCCATAACCCGATGCCTCCCCAGGCCTTCTCCTCTTCTTTTGTTCAGCTTTTTTGATTGCTTTCTTATGGCACTCATACTGTATTTCCTCGCGAATTAACACGATTCGAATCGAATCACGCGTGCACTAATTAACAGAATACAACGCGCGATATTTTGCACGACACTCCCGAGCACTCGTGGCACACACTTTATTATTATATAATTAAAACTGCATTTGAATTTTATTAAACGCGTTTTATTAAATGTATAATAAGACTCAATCTTTGTACCGTGATATTCAATGAAAAGTGCGAAATTGTGATCGGCGATTAATTTTTTAAAAATCGCGATAGCAATTCAAATAGAAATAAAATAAAATTTCGATTCATAAAAATTCAATATACGCATATTTAAAATATGTACATACATACATATTTTAAACATCTTACTCGAATTAGATTGCCTCGAGGCAATGATTATTTATTGCATGATTTATTCCTAAAATCGGAATACGTTCAATAAGAAATAATATGTTCAAAATGACTATCACGGTACAAAGATCGAGCCTTATTATCATTACTGTCGTTAATTGTTAATAGACAATTGTAGAAAATGATTATATTCAACATCTTACGCAGAGTACTTGTCGCGATTTCGTTTCGAGACCTAATGCGACGACACACAGAACGCTCGCGCACTTGAGCCTCGCCGCGCCAAGGACAAGGTCGCGATCGTATACATATAAAATACTATACTAGAATCAAACATATCGGAAATTCATTGGATATATTTATCGTCACTATAATATTTAACATACTACTAGATAGATTTATGCGAGAGAATATTTTATTTGTTAATTTTATTTTTTCTTCCTTCTGTCTATTGTACGATTCGTGTATTATTGTACTTTCTTGATCAAAAAATGAGGCAAATTATGTCTAAATGAGCGAAAAATTCAAAGCATGATACGAAATATATTTGCAACAAAGAAATCCAAGTATTATATTAAATATACATATTTTTTAATAATAAAGTACTAATATAATTATATAGTTATGAACGTTAAATATTTCGTGGCGGCAATGAAATTGTTAAAGTATTATTGTAAATAATTATCGTGATCATTTGCTTATTACAGTTAGCAATTAACAAAATATTTAAAAAAAACTACAAAATAAATTCACACGTGAATATTTTATTTTCTTTAAATTTTAATTTAATCGTTAATAAATGATTGATGTAGCATGGCTTTAATTACTCTATTTTACGATTCATATATTATTCTTTCTTAATCTGAAAATGAGAGACAAATTACATCTATGTAAATCAGCTAAAAAATCCGAAGCACGATACGAAATACATTTGAATCCAAGCCAAACCATAAGAATAATATTAGATATATTATAATAGAGTATTTTTTTTAAATATAATTACGTAGAATGTTAAATATTTCGTGGCAAAGAAATAATCTTCACACGGTATTATTGTAATGTAAATAGAGTGTGACGTCAGAATGTGACGCTCGTATTCTGTGGCGTCACACGCGCTATTGTTTACACGGGCGGTCGCTCTATCATTCGTTTGGCGAGATTCGAACGAGTAGGTAGGGGCAGAGACGCTCCGTATTATTATCCGTATTATGTCGCGTTACTTTTCGCGACGTATAATTGCGATAATACGAGATGCTAAATGCGATCATTTGCTAATTACAATTAGCAATTAACGATACGTGCCGATATTTCGCGTTTAATCAAAGTTATTTCATGTGATTTATTCGGAAATAGATAAAAAAATACGTCGATTTCGCAGGATGTTGATTGTGTATGAAATATACATGCAATATTCAATTTCGATAGCCTACTTTCGGACGATTAATCTCATTAATTCAACTTGTGCACAGTATTAACGTGAAATGACGTGTTGCGATGTGACATAATTAATTAATACGATCTTGATTAATTACATAATAATAAAGTGCGCGTCGTGATTGACGGGAGTGCCGTATAAAGTATCGTGCGATTGTATTTTAGTGCTTACGATGGATTGTGTTTTCGCGAGTGAGTGTGAAGCAGCCGAAACATCAACAAGAGAAGGATGAAGGAGGAAGCCCGGGATGACAACGAAGCAATCATAAGGTACGTTGGTAACTTCTAATTTACATAATTTAATATTTTTCATTTATTATTACTTGAAACTAATTGCTCACGCTAATTTTCGCCAACAATTAATAATCCATTTTATATCATTACGTACATTAATTTAAAATATTGCAAACTTGATATTTTAAAACTCCGGTACAAAGGCGTAAAATACTTAATAAAACATTTATAGTATAAAATAATTATTTTTTATAGATAAATATATAAAAAATTTTGATATATCGTTCAAGTGTTATAATTACTTAATTTATGGTATCAAAAAAAAGTATATAAATCATAAAGAGAGAAAGAGAGAGAGAGGAAGACGGGATTAGAGGGTCTCGAAAGTGCGGAGAAGCGAGAAATGCTGGAAACTGGATATCCAGTTTGTCCAGGAGGACGGGGAGCGATAGTCGTGCTCGAGATATCGCGCGTTCCACTTTACATCTGCTTCTCGGGACCGAGGAATAAATCGACGGTCACAAAACTTTCGTGGCGTATGCGCGAGATAACGCATCCGGAATCGATCGTCGGATGCCCCGAGGATTATTTTATGACCGTAAGTGGGCCATGAAATCGGAGGGATCGTACGCACATCGGGCATTTATCGCCGGATTCACCCGGGAATCCTTATTCCTCCTCTCCCCCTTCGCTCTCCTCTTTCCTCCCCCGCTCGTACTTCCGATTTCAATCCTCCTCTTAAATCTTAAATTACGTTCAGAAGAGAAAATTCTCGGATAAGAGAATCTGTAGCTGTTGATACCGTTACAAGCATCAACGCGCCTTGTATAAGCTCTACGTTCAGCTGCGATCGAGCGCCCCATTTAATTCAGATTTCGCGCGACAATCCGATAAAATGGCGCGACTTTGAAGGATAAGTACGGAATTAGTGGACACTTAAATATTGGAGGAAAGGAGGGAATGAAAGGATGTTGCGAAACGTTTATGCAGATATCGGTGGTAAGGGTTTCGCGTTATTTGCGTCGAGCAAATGGCCAGCAAGGATTCCTAGCTCAGTTACAAAGGAATGTCAAGGGCCAGTATCGTGTATCCTATTGCTCCCGATATTTAGTAGCCGTGGCGGTCGTGGCAGTCGATCCTGGCCGATCGTGGCGAACGATCGCGACCGGTCGGTCGGCGGTGTCGTTAACGGCGAGTATTTCAAGTCCGTGCCCAGTCACGATGGCCTCGAAATTCGCGGTAGTCATCATAAATCTACGGATCTAAACGCTCTCAATGGCACAATCCGGCCGATCTAACAAGTTGCGCGAATAACATCGACTTGGGGCCCATTAAGATCGATAGGAAAAATCCGGGAGATCGATATACCGCCGTTGAAACGTGACAATGAACGGTTAAAATTGGTCCAGCATTGCGTTGTTAACGCGTTAATAACGCACCGGGTACAATTAATGGCGTTGATTGGAATCGCGATTCTGCCATGACATCGTGAACCCATATTGTCGATTTGTTTTTTTAAAGATTTAGAATTGGAAATTAAAGTTATAAGAAATAAATTCAAAGTTAGAATTATTTTAATTAAAATTTGTAAAAAATGTATATGTATTTAATTAGAATTATTCAAAAATTAATAATAAATAATTGTGAAAATTTGAATTATAACGGTAATCTAGTTTACGAGTACTGTTTTGCCTCTCGCAATTTCACGTCTGCACAAGGTCGGGAAATAACCTGCCAGGATCGTCGATTATTATAATTTCACGATATGAATCCGCGATATTGCTCGTTGTACGTATGCTCTAGTTTCGATCTAACCGGTATACCGTTTGCGGATCTAGATCTCGAACAGGCATGATTCGCGATAACCGCGAGGAGAGACGTAAATTCTGCTTTTCTACGAGGTTTTTCTAGATTATTAAAATACCAGCTAAATAGAATCAGGTTTCGTGTTCCAGATTATCGCCGCCAAAGGTATGAAACGCTATCGGTCGCCGTGACTATTTCAGGATTATTAATCTTGGCCGTCGATTAGTACGATTTGTAATAGAAGTAATGGCAAAAAATGAGACTGAAAAGAGATGTATCACATTGATGAAACTATTAATAAAACTTTTAATTTTTAATGACTCTTTTTTCAAAGATAAAACGTAATATTTGAATTTAATACTTGGAAACTAGACTAGCTATTAACATATTATATATTTTTTTAGCTTTACAATATTAGCTTAATTTTAGCATTAATAGTTTGTGTTGATCTAGTTCTTTTTAAATTTTTTATCGCAACGAAACGAGAAAGAAAGGTAACGTCCAATATTAATTTTGAAGGAAAAGTTTTGTAGGATCTTCGATCGTGCGAATTGATGCGAAGAATCGCGAGATGCAGTGAACGAGCCATAAAAGATACATTTTACGCGCAAAATTCTGCGAGCGCTGAAAAAGAGATGCTGTATTACATTGAAAAAATTATTAATGAAATTTTTAATCGTGTCATTTACTTTCAGAGATATCAATATTTGGAACAAATAGAATAGCTATTAATATTTATCTAAAAAAAAATGAAAAAAGATATAAAATGCTCATTCTTCCTTTCGCTGATTTCAAAATAATACTCTTTTAATTTTGCAATATTAAAATTAATGACGATTAACGACCGATTCCCTTGAGTTTCGCGTATCGGTATTTCGCGATCTTCGGCCGTACGAGTTGATGAAGAATGACGACATGCAGTGAACGAGCCATAAAACATGTATTTTACGTGCAAAATTTTGCGAGCGCTGAAAAAGAGATATTGTATTACATTGAAAAAATTATTAATGAAATTTTTAATCATGTCATTTATTTTCAGAGATAAAATATCAATATTTGGAACAAATAAAATAACTATTAACATCTATCTAAAAAAATTAGAAAAAAGATATAAAATGCTCATTCTTCCTTTCGCTGATTTCAAAATAATACTCTTTTAATTTTGCAATATTAAAATTAATGACGATTAACGATCGATTCCCTTGAGTTTCGCGTATCGGTATTTCGCGATCTTCGGCCGTACGAGTTGATGAAGAATGACGACATGCAGTGAACGAGC